AGATGTTTTGTAGCAAGGAGGGGAGTGATTAACTTTTCAGTCTAGGAGTGGAGGTCCCTTGGATCATCAAGGGAGAAGAGCGGAGAGCGGGACCCTACCCAGAGAAGTAAGAAGGCATCCAAAAGATGCCTGAGATGGAGACAGAGACAATGACGTGGAGATGGAACAGTTGGGGACTTTAAACACAGAGAGGGAGAGGGGCTGTGTGCTGACGACCATGGGGCAGGCTTGTAGTGTATACCCTTTGGTTGGTTGATGATGCATGAAGGGGATTGTAACCATGGCAATAAAACGATATACAATAGGATGAATGTAAAATTAATGTTCTCCCAGGTAAACTATCACATAATTCACAATAAAACATTTTAAAAAAAAGAAACATGTTCACAAGGGATCTGGGATTTCCTACCCTGAAGAAATCTGAAGTCTTCACATCTATGATTTTTGTCTCAGGCAACTTCTGGTGTGGCCTCCATTTGGCAGATAGTCTTTCTCACTCCAATGCTGCGGCATGTAATGTTGGTGAGTGATGCCCGCAGGGCTGGCTATGGAATCAACACAACCGACACCAGAATCCTGCTTCAAGGTGGCTTCACTGCCCCACATGTACAGGAAATAAAGGTAAGTGAGTTTCTAAATTAAAAAACAGCTTCTAACTAACAGCAACTTATGAAGTGTAAAGAAAAGCTCGTGCTTTGGGGGACTTTTTTTCTCCCTCATAAAACTGATTTTATTTTTACTGGTAGGAGTATTCATTAGAAAGCAGCTTGATTTTTTTTTTTTTTTTGGTGTTGAAATCACATTTCTTGTCCCAGGATTCCCTTTAAAAGAACATATATATATATATATAGTAAATGTATATACTTGTTGTTAAATGCCATGGAGTTGGTTGTAACTCATAGCAACTCTACATAGGCTTTCCAAGGAGTGGCTGGTGAGTTTGAATTGACCTTGCAGATCAAACCTACCCTATCCTACAGTGCCACATATACAGGACTCTGTATATGGACTCCTGGTGTGGAACTATTGGATAAAAACTTCACTGAAAAGTCAGTTTGAACCGCAAGGTCAGTGGTTCAAACTCACCAGCCGCTTCTCAGAAACCACATACAGGGTCGCTCTGAGTCAGAACCGACTCTACGGTGCTTAACAACGACAACATATATATGTATATATATTTTTATATACGTAAAGAGAGAGAGAGATTCTTGGTGTGGCACTGTAAGATCAGCACTGAACTGCAAACCACAAGGTCGGCAGTTCAAACCACCACTGCTTCTTTGGAATCCTATAAAGGTCTCTACAAGTCACAACCGACTCTATGGTACTTAGCACACACACAAACATAGGTTGTATATATATGTTTTGTTGTTGTTCTTAAGTGCTGTCAAGTAGATTCTGACCCATAGTGACCCTGTATAGGATTTTCCAAGGAGCAGCTGGTCAGCTTGAACCGCCGACCTTGCAGTTCAGATGGCTTTGCAGTCTGGTGCATTAACCCACAGCGCTATATATATATATATTAGTTGTTGAAATTGGTTCTGACTCCTAGTGACTCTGTTCATAGTGACCCTGTATAGGGTTTCCAAGGTTGTAAATCTTTGTGGGAGCTGAAAGTCATATCTCTCTGCCACTGGAGCAGCTGGTGGGCACAATCTGCCTACCTTGTGTTTTGCAGTCCAGTGCTTATCCTACTGAGCTACCACACTCCCTTATCTAATGTTGTTGTTGCTGTTGGTAAGTGCCATTGAGTCATTTATAACTCATAGCTACCCTCTATAGAGTTTCTGAAAATCAGCTGGTGGGTTTCAACAGCTGACCTTGTGCTTCAAACTGACCTTGCGGGCCAGTGCTTTACCCTACAGTGCTACACCAGAACTCCTATATGAGGGAGTTTCAAAAAGTTAATGTAAAAATAGAATTAAAAGATAATGAAAATTTTCCAAAACCTTCTTGAAGCCCAATTGTAATTTTTTTCACCTATCAGCTACCATATGATTGGTAACCATGTGATCCACCAATTCTACTCCTAGGTATATATCCAGAATAAATAAAAGCAAGACAGAAATATTTATACATGAATGTTCATTGTAGCACAATTCAAAATAGCTGAAAAGTAGAAATAGATTAAATGTGCACCAACAGATGAATGGATAAACAAAATACATAAAATGAAATATTGCACAGTCATAAAGAATAATGGTAGCGTTGTTGTTGTTGTCAGGTGCCATCGAGTCGGAACCGACTCATAGCGACCCCATGTACAACAGAACGAAACACTGCCCGATCCTGGGCCAACCTCACTACCGCTGCCACACTTGACACCATCAATGATGCCAGCTGGCCGATCCATCTCATTGGGAGTCTTCCTCTTTTTCTCTGACCCTCCATCTTACCCAGCATGACATCCTTCTCCAGCGACTGTTCCCTCCGGACAATATGTCCAAAGTATGAGAGACCAAGTTTAGCCATCTTGGCCTCCAAGGAACGCTCTGGCTGCACTTCTTCCAAAACAGATCTATTGGTTCTTTTGGCAGTCCATGACACTATTGGTTCTTTTGGCAGCCCATGATACTTTTAGTATTATCCTCCAACACTACAACTCAAAGACATCAATTCTTCTACAATCTTCCTTATTCACTGTCCAGCTTTCGCATTCATATGAGGTTATTGAAAATACCATGGCTTGGGGCAGGCGCACCTTAGTCCTCAAGGTGACATCTTTGCTCTTCAACACTTTAAAAAGTTCCTGTGCAGCAGATTTGCCTAATGCAATACGTCATCTGATCTCTTTACTGCTGCTTCCGCGAATGTTGATAGTTGATCCAAAAAAAAAATGAAGTCCTTGACAACTTCAATCTTTTCTCCGTTGATAAGAATGTTGTTTATTGGTCCAGTGGTGATGATTTTTGTTTTCTTTACATTGAGATGCAATCCATACCGAAGGCTGTGTTCTTTTATCTTCATCAGTAAATGTTTCAAGTCCTCTTCACTTTCAGCAAGCAAAGTTGTATCGTCTGCATATCACAGGTTGTTAATGAGTCTTCCTCCAATCCTGACGCCACATTTTTCTTCACAGAACCCAGCTTCTCATATTATTTGCTCAGCATACAGGCTGAATAAGTATGGTGAAAGAACACAACCTTGTTGCATATCTTTCCCAATTTTAAAACATTCAGTGTTCCCATGCTCTGTTCTAATAACTGCTTCTTGGTCCAGGTACAGATTTCTCAGAAGTACAATGAAGTGTTCTGGAATACTCATACTTCGCAATGTTGTCCATAGCTTGTCATGATCCACACAAGTGGTTACGAATAGGGCTGTGAGCCACATGGTCAGCAGTTCGGAACTACCAGCTGTTCCAGGGGAGAAAGATGAGGCTTTCTGCTCCCGTAGAGATTTACAGCCTCAGAAACCCTGTACAGGGTCACTATGAGTTGGAACCAACTCCATGGCACATAACAACAACAAAAGAATAATGAAGTCCTGTTACATGCTACAGCATCGATGAACCTTGAAACATTAAATTGAATGAAATAAGTCAGTCACAAAAGGACAAATATCACACGGTCTCATTTATAAGAAATATCTGGAATAGTTGAGTGTATTTGTTGTTATTAAGTGCCATTGAGTTTGTTCTGACTCATAGTGACCCTGCATAGGGTTTTTTAGGAGAGCCTTTTGGATTTGAGCCACCAACTGTGCCATTAGCCATCCAGTCCAGTGCTTATTGTAGAGCCCAACACCAAAATTTATTAGTGGTTACCAAGGACAGGCATGCATGAGAGGAAAGGAGAATTTAATGGTTAGGGGACACTAAGCTTCCTCAGTGGGTGTAGTAGAATATATATGAACAGAATTTATGTCACTGAATTATGCATATGAAGATTGTTAAGATGTAAAATGTTCTGCTGCATATATACTTGCAAAAATAAAAAAAAATGAACAAAAAAATTCAATGTAAGTCAATTAATTTGATGTGATATAGAGATTTTCCTCCTATGATAAAGTAAAGGCAGATGGTGGAAATAGGAAATACATTACAGACAAATACCATAATTGTTCTTAATAGCACTGACTACATAAAATTAAAAATTTTCATCTAGATGCATAGAAATCATGTTGTGGATGCAATGTACGTACTAGTAAAGAGCCAGACGTTGATGCAAATCTTGTTTATGGTAATTCTTAGCTGTTGGATCTTGGGCTTTGGGTTTTCTCACATGTAAATGTAGACAATAATAAGAATTAACAGTGTTATTATAGTCAATGAGCACATGGAAAGTGCTAAGAAAGGACATGCAAAGACTTAATGCTAAATGAATATTAGATTCCAGAAACCACTTTATCTTGATTTAACACTTTGAAATTTTCATCTTGTATTTCTGTTAGGCTTTGGTCATTTGACGAAGCAATTGATGACCCTGGCTGATGGACACGTGGTGCTGGCATTAGAAGGAGGACATGATCTCACAGCCATCTGCGATGCGTCAGAAGCCTGTGTAAATGCTCTTCTAGGAAACGAGGTAAACAACCTCAAAATACAAAAGCAAAATAAAACAAAACAAAAGGTAGAGGAGTAAAGAACCAGGAATGTAGACATACATAGTTTAATGTCTTAAAAAAAAATGCTCATAAAACAAAATTTGTAAAATAATGCAAAGTTTAATTATGAAACATTGACCTGTTCTAAAGTTTTTTTTTTTTTTTAATAAACTCTTTATTGTGAATTGAGTGGTTTATAGAGAAAATCATCAGTTTTACATTCAACAAATCATATACTTTGCTTCAGTACATTGTTGCAATCCCCTCCGTGCACCAACAATTAAAAACATTTACCTCTATTTACTCTAACCATTGCATTCCTCCCTGTGTCTTCCACCACCCCCATCTTTCCTCTGCCAACCACCCTCTGATTGTATATTGCCTGCCTGTCATCCATGTCAATGGCTATCTACTTGCTAGCTCATGAAGCATTTCCCCCTCTCCCACAAACCATCATAGATTGTTTCTTTTATCAAGAACAACCCCCTCCCCTTTTATTGAAATACAAAAGCACACACACACACACACACACACACACACACAAAAGAAAACCACTCAGGAATATATAATCATTTAAACAACCGAAGATCACATTCTGCAAGTCAGCCTCCTGGCTGCCAGCATACAGCCTTTCTCTTTCCATGAATCTAGGTTCCTCCGATACTCTATCTCTGCATGACATCACCTCTGTCTCTATCTCTGGTGTCTCTGCTTATCTGGTTTTGGTCCCACATTCCGCTAATGCTCTTCTCTCTTGATAGACCTAGGGTCCTCTGCGTCTGGAATGTTAGATGAACTACTCCCACTTTTTGTTATATAACTTCTACCTTTACAGTTGTGACAATCACAATTAGGTATGATAACAATTACTAACTTTTGAATCAAATGAATCCTATCACCATCTCCTTTCACCAGATCCATCTAGACAATAGGAAAAGTATTCAATGGGGCTTCTACCTTCCCCTGCACATGTTCTAGTTTATATGCTATGACTTTTGTCCAGTTAAAAAATTCACACAACATGACCCTCAATCAGATTATTGACAAAACTAAAAAAAATGAATAAAGGTAACCCTTGGAAAGAGGAATGTTTTGTCTTCTGAATCAATCACTGAGTGCTGAAACACTGAATAAGCTAGAACTCAAATGATTTTTCTTGATATTTCCTATAGGATTGTGATTGCTATTGTTGTTAAGTGCCACCAAGTCAGTTCTGACCTTTAACAACCCTGTATTGGGTTCCTAAGGAGTGGCTGGTGAACTTGAACCACCGCCCTTGCAGTTCAAATAGGCATTACAGTCCAGCGAATGTGTGGTCCATAGCACCACATCAGAATTATGATAATAGAGGGGAAAAGGGACATTTAACAAAAATTGGTAAAATTATTTTTCTATCTTCATTTAAAGACTCTCAAGGCCAAGAGATAGATACTGCTCCCATCTTATCATTGTTAAGTGCTGTCAAGTCAGTTCCAACTCATAAAAACCCTGTGTAGGATTTTTAAAGAGCAGCTGATGAGTTTGAATTGCCAATCTTGTGGTTCAAACTTACAGATGTTATAATGACTCTGAAAGAGACTGAGAAATCCATCCAAAGTTAAAGAGCCAGAATGCATTAAACCTAAAAATTGAACTTGAATCTAAATGGCTAGAGGTCATTTTTCCCCCCACATCATATAACTAAATTGCAGCAACTGTTTCTGACCATTCTGCCAACCTTAGTTAAAATCACTATGAAGTTCACTTCCAGATCATGATAAGCTGTTGGATGGTTTCATTACATTTCAGCAAATATTTAAAAGTTTGTACAAAAATATTTACATATCATTGGTTCATTTAATTTTCTAATGACTACATAGTATTGTTGGATTCCTGGTGTAGCACTGTGGGATAATGCACTGGATGGAAAGGTCAGTTTGATCCTCAAAGTCAGTGGTTAAAATTCATCAACCTCTTCTCAGAAACCCTCTACAGGGTTTGAGTCAGAATTGACTTGATAGCACTTAATAATAACAACAACATATAGTAATATTAAGAATATTGCATATATTTTTCCTTCATATTGTGAACTTGCAGTATGTCTTTTCTGATAAATAAACATCTGCACAATCATTTAAAAATGCATCACTCATAATGAATTTTTAACAGTAACTCATGTCTTTCTCATATTTATGTTAAAAAGTACTTTTTCTTCTGTACATTGAACACATAGCATTTACTGTCATCATTATCTTATAAATTTATCATGTTTCAAAATTATTATTTTGCCATATTTATTGAAACTCAAATATTGCTTAAGTACTTCATTCTGTTTAATTTTGGACAGCACAATACTCCAAGGATCTAACTGGTTTCTGATTCAGAGACGACCTAATTCAAAGTAGTTAACATTTTCTAAAGTCTTAGAGCCTTTTTGATATTTCTCTAAAATAATGTTAAGCAGAATTTTGGTTTATTTGAAACAATGTAGGAGTGCAAATATATATATATGACAACAAATATGGATCTCTTCCAATCAGTTGGCCAGGTAGCTCTCTTCCAAATTTCTTGGTATTGTTGAATGAGTACTTACAGTGCTTCCTCAGTTTGTGGAAGTATTTAAATTTTATTCCATCAATTCCCAGAACCAGTGGTGGCCGTGGAGGTGATTTTGGTAGGAATGACACCTTTGGTCATGGAGGAAACTTCTGTGGATGAGGTGGCTTTGGTGGCAGCTGTGGTGGTGGATATGGAGGCAGTGGGGATAGTTATAATGGATTTGGTAACAATGGAAGCAATTTTGTAGGCGGTGGAAGCTATAATGATTTGGGCAATTACAACAATCAACCTTCAAATTTTGGAGCTATGAAGGGAGGAAATTTTGGAGGCAGAAGCTCTGGCCCTAATGGTGGTGGAGGTCAATATTTTACCAAACCACGAAACCAAGGTGGCTATGGCGGTTCAAGCAGTAGCAGTAGCTATGGGAGAGGAAGAAGGTTTTAATGATTACCAGGAAACAAAGCTTAGCAGGAGAGGAGAGCCAGATAAGTGACAGGGAAGCTACAGGTTACAACAGATTTGCTAACTCAGCCAAGCACAGTGGTGGCAGGGCCTAGCTGCCACAAAGAAGACATGTTTTAGACAATATTCCTGTGTATGGGCAAAAAAAAAACAACCCCAAAACTTGAAGACTGTATTTGTGACTAATTGTATAACAGGGTATTTTAGTTTCTGTTCTGTGGAAGGTAGAAAGCATTCCAAAAAGGGTTTTAATGTAGATTTTTTCCCCACAGCCATGCTGTTGATTGCTAAATGTAATAGTCTGATCATGATACTGAATAAATGTCTTAAAATACATATTTCCATTTTGTATTTTTAGTTTACTCAGATAAATTAAGGACTTCTCTGTAGACCAGATTTTTTGTTGGTTTGTTGGTTTTGTTTTGGTGTGTGTGTAGTCAGTATTCCTAAATTATCTGATTGATTTTAAATATAGAAACATTTTAATGAGCTAATAGCGGTTAAGCAGTTGACAACTAACTGAAAGGTTGGCAGTTCAAAACTATCCAGCAGCTCTGAGGGCGAATGACCTGGCAGTATGCTTGTGTAAAAGATTATAAGTCAAAAGTTCTACTCTGTCACATCATGAACTTGCTATGAGTCAGAATCAACTTACTAGCACCTAATAACAACAACAAATAGAAACATTTTAGGGAAACAAGACTGGTTTTGATATTTGCATTATAAAGGCTATGCCAGATGTGCAGAAAATCACAGAAGGTTGTGGATTGTGGCTCCATGGATGACTGACCTGCCCAGAAAGAAATGTTACCCGTTTGCGAAAAGCCAACTACTTTTCCAACTGTGTGGAAGGAAATTATGGATTTCACTGGCTCTTTTAGAGCATACTCGTTCAAATGAGAATCTGTCTTTATGCTCTTGTAATATCTGCATTTGGCCTAACTATATTCTTCCAAGGAAGGATTTCTAATAAGAATGGAGTAATTTCACTTGTGGTCTTTTTCTTTAAAAGATGACTATATCTCAGAACAGATTCCAGTGATTTGTATGGAGTTGCATGTTTTTTGTTTTTTTTTAATTTTATCCAAGTGAACTAAAAACAAAGTGAGTATTTTTGTGTTTTCCTTGCATACCCTTCGTTGGGGAGATATATTGTCACTTAATTGTTTGTGCTATTCCTAGAAACCAAGCATACAACTTTTATAGAGCAGTTAGTGACAATAGGAGAGCATCTCCTGAATGAAAGCTTGAAACCTGTGTCTTTTCTTACACTTTTAGAAAGACCAGGCCTAAAACAGAGGAGGATATAAAACTCTCAACTGGCTAACCATAGAGATGCTTATGTGAGGTGCTAGAAGTAAGCAGTAAGTGAAAACGGAAAATGAAAATATTAGATTTAGCTATTTTGACTATTTAATCAATTTTAAATATCTGGGTGGCTTACAATAAAACTGATTTAGTTATTTGAATTCCATAAATTCCATCTTGTCTCGGTTAGTTGACTATCTACAATTGCATAAGTAAAACCTAAAAGTTGTTCGTTCACCAGGAACTAAAACAAGTGGGATTTAAATCATCTATCTATATATTCTGTTTTTGTTTTTTCCCATTGAGACCTCTTAGGGTTTAAACAATAATTTAGAATTCTCACAAATTACTTTAAGGGTAACAAATGGGTTTAGTATACAAAATTTTTAAAGGTAAATTTTGGTGTGTCAGCATACTGAAGAACAAAGTTAAGAGAAAGAATCATTTTTTAATGAAAAATGGAATAAAAATGCAAGTGTGTTGTACATTATAATTCATTTTTTATGGAAATGAAAATGTAATACTTGAAACAACTCAAGAAACAGAGTTCTCCTCACTTTCGTTGACAATATAATTTATAGTCCAAGGCCTGATTCTTTGTATTTTTCAGTTTAAAGGTCATCATAACTAACAGCATAGCTACATTGAAGTTTTAAATTTCATTCCTTTAGAA